GGTGTGAGCCACCGCACTGGCCTGAAATGATTGTGGTTTAACCTGAAAATGTAACTATTGGTTCACAAGCCACCACACAGCGTGCCTGTGGAGTCATTCCCTCTCATATACATACTTTTTTTAAAAAATAAGGAATAGGGAAACATACAGAACACTTCATAAATTCTCACAGTTGAATCTATTATTTCTTAACATGACAAGAAAGTAAAGCTTTGGCTCACAGGGGAGACTGCGAGGGAGAAGTTGGCTTGTGTGTTCCCATTTCAGGGACAGGGTGAGTGTGTCTGGGAACAAAGCCACCAGAGGGACAGTTCATAAGCAAACAGAGGCGGGGCCCAGATCTCTGCCCAAGGGCTTCTAACAAAGACTCAAACCAGGCTTTTTTCCAAAAATGTTTTTAATTCGAACACCCATCTTAATGGCCTACTGTAGACCAACTTAGCAATAGTTGTTATACTAAAAATGGAAGCTAATGATTCCAGCTAAAAAAAAACGAAGCCAGTCCTATCCAAGTACATTGTAAGAAACGGATTATCACAGGGTCCATTTGGTTTCCACGTCCTTTTCCCTACAGATAGGTTTAATAAGATTCCCACAACAAAAGCAAAAGCATTTCTTCCTCTCCCGGGACCCAGAATATTATGAATGTGCTCCCTACAGGCAACCACTTCCCCGAGCCTATCTTTTATAAGACTCATCACACACAGGGAGCGGTGGTCGGCTTAAGGGCACCACCTGCTATCGTCATCATATTAGTGCCATTCACCAAATACCGGCAGCATTAATTTACAGCTCTTGAACACCTGCAGGTACTCACCGCTTGGCTCGGAGCCATATAGCTCCACACTCTTTATACCTTGCAAAATAAGGGCACTTGGAAAAGCAGCACCACATTTAAAGCAAAGGCCAGATACTAGCCATACTGGCCACACAAAGGTAGAGCTGGGAGAAACTTGGCAGAAATCACTTCAAAGGTGTTCAGATGCCACTATCTGAACTAACCAGGACTATTAGAATAAGCATGTGAACCCTCGACGTGACCATGGCATGATTAATATGTGAACTGGCAATGATTCAAGCAGAAGTGAGGTTTCTTGAGCCATCCTGATGTTCAGTTTTAATCCATCTGACATATGGACCCTGAAACCATATAATGCTAGTTTCTATAAAATGAAATTTGCATGTCACAGAAAGCCACCTGGACCGGGAGAAGTCACTGTAGGAGCCTGCTGCAAAGAAATCTCAATTATTAGGCAATTAGAACAAAACTCCTGCGGACAACATTTGCAAAGCCTTTCTGGGGCATGACCTTAATTAAATGTTTTCAATTTTGTAATTTTTAGAAATAATAAAATAAACAATTAGCTTTTGTCTTCCTTTGAGGAATCTCCATCTTGCTATTAACAGCTTAGACACTGAATAATCTTAACTTACGGTACCGTTTTCAGCGTGAACTCAATTTTCTTTTTCTTTTCTTTTTTTGGCATCACAGCTCACAGCAACCTCCAACTCTTGGGCTTAGGCGATTCTCTTGCCTCAGCCTCCCAAGTAGCTAGGACTATAGGCGCCTTCCCCTTTTTTTTTTTTTTTTTTTTGCAGTTTACAGTTTGGCTAGGGCCGGGTTTGAACTCGCCACCCTCAGTATATGAGGCCGGCGCTGCCCACTCAATTTTCGTAATTTCCCATTTTTACCTGATGCTGGAAAACATGATCCTGTGTCATCCTCATGATTCTGACAGCTTTTGTCTTTCAGACTAGGTGAAGAGGCAGAGACACAGGTACCAGAGATAAGCTCCTGGCTTGGGGGCCTGTGCCCACCTGTGCACCCACACAAATGTTACTCTTCATGGGGGTCAGCGTTATGTTCTGCCTTCCCCCTGGCTGCAGCTGTGCAAAATCCTCTTGCATCCCATCTACCCCCAGAGAGGAGGAACTGGGGGGTATGGAAATGCTGGGCAGGGGCTGGTCCCACTCAAGGTGTGGCTGTAGCCTGACCCCTTCCCCCAAATAAGATCTATTTTTAAGATCAGCTACACACGTAAGTGACCTAATATTACTGCAGGATTGTTGACACAGTGTGCCTTCTGACAGGCTTGGATAGAGCAACCAGGAGCAGAAAAGTTCACTTTCTCCTCCTATCTATACGATCATCATGTTTAACTAATCTCAGCTATTAAAAAATGGGATGGAATCCTAAGGAAACATTATATTCTATTCATAGGATTACCCAGGCAAGAACATGTACTCGGAGGTATTAGCAGGGAAATACCTGGGTTTTTTTTTCCTTGCAGTTTTTGGCCAGGGCTGGGTTTAAACCCACCACCTCCAGTATATGGGGCTGGTGCCTTACTCCTTTGAGCCACAGGTGCTGCCCAGGAAATACCTGGATTTTTATTGTTTGGTCAGCACCAACACATCACTGGCACACATTTAAAGGGTTTTTAACAATGACTTCACGTCCCCCCGATAGGAAGCAAATTTTCTTTTAAGTGGAAAAATGTCTTTTAATTTAAAAAAGCTGATGAATGTATATTTTTAGGTAACTGACCATACAGCGACCTGAAGCCTACAATCACCCTGACAAAATAAACGCCCCATTGACGCTGCCCTGCCAGTTTCTGTTGAAGTTGATTCCCCAGTTAAAAGCCAGGTCTGGGCCAGGCTTGGTGACTCACCTGTAATCCTAGCACTCTGGGAGGCCCAGCTGGGAGGATCCCTGGAGCTCAGGAGTTTGAGACCAGCCTAAGCAAGAGCAAGACCCTGTCTCTACTAAAAACTGAAAAAATTAGCTGAGTATTGTAGTGGGCGCCTGTTGTCCCAGGTACTCAGGAGGCTGGGGCAGGAGGTTCATTTAAGCCTAGGAAGTTGAGGTTGCTGTGAGCTAGGCTGATTTCACAGCATTCTCCCCAGGGTGACAGAGGAAGACTATCTCAAAAAATAAAAAAATAAAAAAGCCAAGTCTGCACAAAAGAATAGCTTGAAGAAATTGCCAGCAGTTCATTGCTAATTAGCCAGGCAAACATTTACACTTCAAAGTTGACAAATAGGAGAGAGATTCTCAAAGCTCTAAAAAGATTTTGTCTTTTAGACAAAATCATGCTACCCTTGTGCATGACCCTTACCCATCCACAGTTAGTAGCAGTCAAAGGTGACACTCCCTAAAGCAACTCTTGCCATGGCAGAGACCCCAGCAAATCTCCCTTTGCCCCTCACTACAAAGGCTGGTCTGGTCCCAGCTCTCTGTCAAGAAAACATTTCCAGACAGCCCAGTCACTGCTAATCCAAAAGTTTCCTTAGTGAATAAGAGGCTTCAGATACCCCTCGCAAAGTCTCCTGAATTAGAGTTTTTTCAGCAACATCTTCATAATATATTTTCACCTTTAAACCTGTAGAGGGTGGGTCGGCACCTGTGGCTCAGTGGGAAGGCGCCAGCCCCATATGCCAAGGGTGGTAGGTTCGAGCCTGGCCCCAGCCAAACTGCAACAAAAAATAGCTGGGTGTTTTGACAGGCACCTGTAGTCTCAGCTACTCAGGAGGCTGAGGCAAGAGAATCACCTAAGCCCAGGAGTTGGAGGTTGCTGTGAGTTGTGACGGCACAGCATTCTACCAAGGGCAATAGAGACTCTGTCTATAAAATAAAATAAAATAAAATAGAATAAAATAAAATAAAATAAAATAATAAAGCTGTGGAGGAAATGAAGCAGACCCTGGGCAGGTTTCTTTTAAGGAGGGAGAATGGCTCCAAAAATATCTGTCTGCCAGCGCCATACCATTAACCCAGGGGAGTTGCCTCCCTGGAGGACAGTCAGCCAAAGTCTACTTTGAACCTAATCCCCCGAGAGGGATGGAAAAGTATAGAAGAAAATTCTAAGTACCTATCCATGCTTTCTCTCTTTCTCTAGAAACACAACCTACTGAAAGAAAAGCCAATTTGAAATTTAAAAACTGTAGATGCTACTCAAATTTGAGGGCCACTATCAGTGTAGTTATATTGTTAACGAAAGCAGATGGCATGTTTCTTTTCCTGCATTACCAAGTCAACTGCTCATACTTAATAATTTTGATTAACTTTGATTGGTTTAGATTTAGCAGACATGAATCACACTGGTTGCAACTTCAGTGTTGTCCTGATACTAACATGGCAATATCTGAATATGGAAAGTCTAGGAAATCCTGAGTACTTCTAGTCTATAACTTGGCTTTCAAAAAAAAAAAAAAATCAAAGAAATGCTCTTTTGAAGAACAAAGTTTTAGAGCTTGGAGAAAAGAGATCTCCATTAGAGATCTTTTAATCTATTTCAATCCAAATATAGGTCAGATTCTGATCTGATATTATTTCTGCGTTGTTAGAACAACTTTTTACATACAAATTCAAGGTCACAATGGTATTAAAAATATCCACAGTAGAAGACTGGCATGAAATACAATAATTAATAATAGTTATTGTATTAGAGTGGTTGTTTTTCTTTTCTGTGTTTTTCAAATGTTCTCTTATACAGCTAAATATAATTTTTATAGTAAAAAACTTGCACACTAGCAAAAAGTGCAAGGGTAACAAAGTATAGCTGTCCTTCTAAAATAATTCCTAAAACAAATGTGCAGAAAAGAGACACTGAACTAAGATACAGAAGACACTGGAAGGAAAGGCTCATGAGGGCCAGGGGAGGAGAGGGGAGGAGGAGCCCATGGCTGGTGTTTCCCGGCAGTGCTGTCCTCAAAGACAGGAAACAGCAGAGCCCTGTGGCTGTGGCACTGGGGACTCTCACCGAGGCATGGACGGTGAATGCTGGATTTCTAGACATTTATTAGCCTTGCATGCCTAGGGAAGCTCCGAGCACTTCTGAAATCGGTGCTTGATTGGGTTTTATGGAGGGCAAAGTGAGACTCACATGCAAATATGAAGATGGACAATGAATGGTGGCCTCCGTGGCAAAAGCAGCCACTGTGTCTAACCAAACCCCTCTCAGCCACGGGCTTAGGAAAAGATCAGGCAACACTTCTTTTTCCAATTCATTTCAAGTACTCAACTTTGTTCATTAAAAAACTATAACTATAGGCACAAAGCTGTAAACAGATCTTATTCCCACTGGCAGCCCACAGCGGGGCACTCTATATACCCTTTCAGGGGGGTTAGGGGCGATAAAACCAAAATCTGCATTTAAAATAAATGCCCATCTCTTTTAAACTCATTGTTGAATGTCCTAATGGACACAACCAACCAGAAACTTTACCCAGACAGGGGGAATATAAATGCTTACTGTATAGATACAGAAAAATAGAAATCCCTCAATAAGGACTTCAAAGTCCAATCCTCAAGAAATCACACAATTAGTGCCCCACGGTTGTACATGTAATGGTGTGACTTCTGTCCCTGATCTCTAAATAACGTCCTTCTCCACAGAGGTATCTGGAGGTTGGCAAATTTGCCTAATCCCATGAGGTCCTCTGGCAGGGGTCACAGCTGCTGGTTGGTGAAGAAGGATTTAGTCTCCCTGCAGACAGGATTTTCACAGAGCGGACAACTCAGAGTCAACTGCTTGGAGCACAGCTCGTTTGACTGGATGTGCGCGTGGACCAAGTCAGCCAGGGCCTGGAAGACACAGGAAGCAGAGCATCACCAGGAGCCAAACGTCTGCCCGTCTCCCACGGGGTCCCTCCTCCCCTCCACCCAGACAATCACTCGGGTTTGAGGTTTCTTTTCATTTGGGTTGTGAATCCTCTGAACCAAATTCTACCACCTCTTCCTTTCCTGACGGTGCTCAGCTTAAAGAAAGTTACAACAGAGATTTGGGGAAACAAAATCCTCTTAGCCCACCCACCGGACCTTTTCTCAGATTTTAAATCAGACAGTTTTAGGAGGATAGAAATAAGAAAATTGGGACTATCTGAAGGAAAAAACAAGCGTGGTTAAGGAATTCGATTTTATTTTTGTAATTAATTGGAACTCCAAATGTTGTAATATGTGAGAAAACCAATATTCTACAGGAGCTTCTCAGAGGATTACTCTCCGCTATGTTCTGCTAAAACGGTTGTAACATTCCAGGTACCTTAGAGAACAATGGATTTCCATTAAGAGACTCTGCTCTTCTGATGTTTTCAACTCCACACTAAATCAAATAAGAAAAGGGAGGGAAAACACAAGACACGTTTTATTTTCCTTTTTTTTTTTTTTTTTTTTAAGAAATTGCTACAAAAAACAAAAAAA